ACGTATCTTCAACAGATGCGGGACGCTGGTTTATATTTATTTCCTTTTATTTGACTATAGGGAGCAAGCAGTCAGCAGCACGAAAAGAGTCGTCTAAGCACCATTAGCACCTCCAGCAGCAGCTGAAAAAACAAAAAACTGCTGCAGCAGCAGCAGCTGAGAAAACAAAAAAAAGTAGCCGCCGCAGCAGCAGAAGCTGCTGTGGGTGAAGAAGCGCGTACGCCAGCAGCAGCCGGAGGCTGCTGCTGATGAAGAAGCGAAAATATTCGCAGCAGCAGCAGCAGCAGCATAGCCTGCTGCTGGCGAAGAGGCACAGAAATCACCAGCAGCAGATATTGGTGTGGGCCACGAAGCGCAGAAACAAGCAGCTGCAGACGTTGTTGCTGATCTAGAAGTACGAAATCTAGCCGCAGCAGCAGCAGCGGAACCCGCCGGAAATGAAGAACAGTATATATATGTATGTATATATACATACATATAAGTAGTGGGGAGGGTGAGGTTCGGATAAAGAGGCACTCGCTATTACCTTACTGCAATAACAGCAGCCACTAGAAGCAGCAGAGACTGCTGCTGATGAAGAAGCGCAGATATTAGCAGCGCCAGAGATTGCTGCGGGCGGAAAAGCAGAGATATGAGCAGCAGTGCATGTTAATGTTGATGAAGAACCAGAAAAACCAGGAGCAGCAGCAGAGATTGCCCCGAGTGAGGAAGAGCATATATATATACATATATATATATATATATATATATATATATGTACGTAGTCGGGAAGGTGAAGCACGGACAAGAAGGCACTGACTATGACCTTGGTGCAACAGAAGCAGCTGCTAACAGTAGCAGAGGTTGCTGTTGGCGAAAAGCACCAAAATTGGCAGCAGCAAAGTTCGCTGTGGGCGGAGAAGCAGAGAAATGAGCAGCAGCTGATGTTTTTGCTGCTTCAGAAGCAAGAAAAATAGCAGCAGCAGCGGCAGGAATGCCCCGGGTGAGGGAGAGCATATACGTATATATATATATATATATATATATATATGTATTTGTATATACACATCCATACATATATACATATGTAGTCGGGAAGGTGAAGTACGGACAAAGCGAGTGCTGTGGGCGAGGGAGCACAAAAGCCAGCAGCAGCAGTGCTGGTTGCCGGCGAAGAAGCCCGAGATATGTTCCATCCACTGCCTCACCGTCGAAGAAGTAGCACCAAAGAGGCGCTGACGCCCCCCTTACCGTGGTAACAGCAGCCATATATATATATATATATATATATATATATATATATATAGGTATAGGCAGCAACACCAGTCACATATATATATATATATATATATACGTATATGTTTATGAATGCATGTGTATGTGCGGCGAGGAAGCAAAAGTACGGATAAAGAGGCACTTACTACTGCCTTACTGCAATAACAGCAACTACTAGCAGCAGCGGAGACTGTTGTGGTGCAGAAGCGCAAGACGTATTCCATCCATCTCTGATCGAAACAGAGGGAGCATGAAAGACAAAGGTGGGAGGGAGAGATACCCCAAAATTCTCTTACTCCAACAAAAGCAGCTATATATAGATATAGATATAGATACATATACATATCGAATATAAAATATATAGATATATGCACATTATACATACACGTATATAAGAAGTGAGGGAGGGAGAGTCGCGATATAGAGGCATGGTGGACTGCAATTGCAGCAAATACATATATATATATATATATATATATATATGTAGATGTGAGATGTCCTACATATGTATATATATATATATATATGTATATATAAGTATGTGGGGTACACATACACACATATACATATACATAAGTGAGGAGGAGAAGTAGCGGTAAGGAGGCACTCAAGCAGCTGCAGCAGCCCCCACATTAACAGCTGCCGCCCCGCCCGGAGGATTCTACTTGCTGGTTATAGGTATGCGCAGCACATCGAATGATAGCAACAGCAGCAGCAGCACCAGTAGCTGCTACATAAGCAGGTCTGTCTTCTTGTTGCTTACCAGTGCGGAAGGCACCAGGACTGGCAGCAGCGGCAGCAGCAATAACAAGAGGTGTAGCTGCTGCATAACCACCTTCACGTTTTCCTGTGGTCAGTATCGAGACCAACGCGCATGATGGCAGCAGCTGCAGCACCCGCAGGAGCGATAACAACAAGAGCGGGCGCTACCTAAACGCCTCTAGTTCTTCGTATGATCACTAGTGAGGGCAGCCCAAATGACTGCAGCAGCAGCAGCAGCATATAGGACATGAGCTGCGAGCAAGAATCATCTGCGTACGTATTACGAGTCCTGAGAGCAGTGCGAGTGATACCAGCATCAGCAACAGCAGCACCACTACCATCAACCGCAGCAGCAGCAGCAGCGACAGAAGACCTGCTCCTTCGACAAGCACGGTGGAAAATGAGGTGGATGTGTATACATGTCCCTATGTACGCCCGTATGCGTGCGTATATGTTTAAGCTGGGCTACGTATATATGGTATACATATGATATAGAGGTCTGCGAGTGTGCACCCATATGTATTTACGTACGGGTGCGTGTACGTTCATACTGAGCTACGTATGTACGGTACACATATGATATATAGGTCTCCGAACGTACACCTACATGTATATACGTATGCATGGGTATATGTTCATATTAGGCTACGTATGTGTGGTATACATATAATATACCACAGGTGTGCAAACGTACGTTTATATGTATAACTGTACTCATCAACCTGGTCTGAAGACCAGGGGCTGATCTTTTCTGCGGGTGTATCATCATAAGTAGAACATGAGACTTGAAGCGAGAGATTCTGAAGATACGTGTATGCGGCTGAGATGAATATACTCTAAAGATAGCTCTAATCAGCAGAAGCGTAAGCGTGGCCTGAGACACGGGGCAAGTACGTATATGCGCCCAAAGATGGATACGTCGTAGAGACGGGTTTGCCTATGTCTGTACCCATAGATTTGCTATGCAGGCAGATTTACGTATATGGCGAGTTTCTCGGACTAAACAGCTGTAGCGCAGATCTGGCGTGAGAGATCGTGGGAAAATGCGCATGCGCATAGGTGCATGTCTCGTACAGAGAATGGCTGTGAGCAGGAATAGCGACGGTTTAAAACGTGTGAAATTGACGAAACACGTAGAAGCACCTGGATATGAAATATGTAAGAGAGATGGCGTCGCCTAGCTTTCTACCTGTGTATCTGTCGTAGAGACCGGTATGTCTCGACTACAAGTCTCTCGCAATCACCAACAAAAGCGAGTGTTTGACCTGGGGGGTCGCTGGAACATGTGTATGCGCCTACCTATAAACTTGTTATACAAGTTTAGCCTCCACATTTAGTCCCGGACAAGTGAAGAGATGGACTTACCTATTGTCCGTGGTCTGTTCTACAGGTGGATCTGGCAATACTTCTACCTGTAGATTGGCTACAAACGCCTCTTATGCATAGACTGGCTGACGTTTCTGCCCGTGAATCCGTTAACAAAACACGTTCAGCTCTATCTCTGCCCACGGATCTGTTACAAAGGGGCGTTTGCCTTCATTTCTACACACGGATCTGTTGGAAAGACATGTGTCTATTTCCACGCGCGGATTTGTTATGAAGATGGGTCTGACTACGTTTCTACTCATGGATCTGTTACAGAAATACGTTTGACTCTATTCCTTCCCGCATAGGTTATATAGGTACGTCCACTACATCTACTCATGACTGTCAGAAAGAAACGCTCTGCTACTCGCAACACTGACATAGCCTATGCACATGTATAATATATATATATATATACATATATCTATAACTTCGCGTACGCCTGCAAATACATATACACTCATACATGAATATATATATATATATATATATACATCGGTGCGTACAGAATTGTATGTGGAGGTATATATCCCAGACAGACTTACGTATGCTTCACTAGAAGCCTTACTAGCAGAGGGTAAGAAATAAGTCATTTGACGCTCCCGTACTGACGTGCACGTATGCAAGGTGATATTATTTATCCAGTATCTGGTTGTATGACTGCACAAGAATCGCGGCATACTGTTGATGAAGACATTCCTCATCGTTTCCACATAATAATTTGAACGATACATAGCTCTTGATAGTACCAGCCAGGCGCCTACCTATATATGTATATATATATATACTCTGCATATGCTTGTTTTCCACTGCATAGGCGTACCTAAGTAGTACAGACCAATAGATATATGTGCAAATGCATGTCTAGGCATAAAGCGGCCACCAATGATAACTGATATAACAACCTCGTGCGACTCGCCTTGTTGCTACCAGCTGCAGCATAGCATCCGCAGCCGCGTGTACGTTTCCGGATCCTCAGTCCGAGAAATCTTTGCACAAGTTGTCCTGATATATATATATATATATATATATATATATAGTTAGACTATCGGTCCTCAGACGCCTCCGTAGAAGAGACCACTATTTCTTATAAATAACCGATTCTTCCGATAAATATATATATACACATGTATACATACAAATATACACATGCACACAAAGAAATAAACATATATATATAGATACACATACAGATATATATAGACATCTGATCTCAGATACAAGCGGATCCAGACGCCAGAGGAAGACCTTGTTATACAGGAGATGGCACACTGCTACCTTCCGCAGCAGTTGTAGTAAAAGGTTCTCGCGTCTCCTCTGCTATTCAGCACCTATATATATACATATATATATATACACATATATATACTCACGCTTGCGTATATCGTTGATGATTCGTATGCAGCCAACAGGGCCCGCGTCAGGCCATAATACCCATCAGCAAATCTCTGGTACCGGAACCCAGAAAGAAGAAAAAAAGAGGAAAGAATGTCTTTTCCACGCAAAATTAAATAAATGCGGCACCCCTGCCTCATAATACTTGCGGTAACCCCTTCCGGCACGGAAAGTATGTCCATTGTTTTCCCTTCTTCTTCTTCTTCATCTTCTTTGACTCCTACTACTTCTCCATCCTCTTCCTATTCTTCTTCTTCTTGTTCTTCTGCTTCTTCTGCTACTACTTCTCCCGCTTCTTCTGCTTCTTTCTCCGTTTTCCTCCTACTGCATCTCCGTGCACGAATGTGTACGCACCCCGTTGTTTTCTTTTTTTCTTCTACTACCACGCCGCCCTAAGCAAAAGAGACGTACGTACACCGTTTGTCTCAGTTTTTCCCCTTCCAGCTCTCCTCCTGTTACCACTGCTACTAGTACTACTGCTACTACTGCTACTACTATTACTAGTACTACACATATGCCGTTTCGGCTTCTTTCCCTTCTATCCTTCCCCTCAACTCGCACCATCCAAACAAAAAAGCAAGTGCTTCCATATCTCTTCTTCACAGAAACACCTCTACACACATAGCCACAGCAGCACGAGGATAGATGTGCTGCCGCCACAGATACAAGAAGTTGCAAATAGCATCTTCTTCTGTATGAACGTTTCCAGCACAGTCAATGTCGCGTCTGCATGCCACGGCGCTATTACTCTTCTGTCGTCGTATTGACAACGCGTTGGAAGTCACTTATATATATATGCATATATATATATATATATATATATATATGCATGTACGCACACGTGCATACATGTAAATATGTCTATTTATATGGAGATATACATATACGTACGTACATGGACGCCCATATAGACATATATATATATATACATATATATATATATATATATATATATATATATAACATCACGTACTCTTGGGTTGCCGTGATTATTCCAGCCAGACGCTCTCTCTATCTCTGTAGAACACCGCTGTGATCGGGCTTCTCCTTTCTCCGGTTCTAAGTCTGCTTCTCTGCCTTTCTCTCTATATCTCCTTATTGGCAATCATCAAGCCAAAAACAGGTGGCCTACTTCTACGTAGACGCAATATACCTACATTGTCTGCATAGATAGCACCGGCTGTATGTATACATACGAAGTTATGACGCCCCTACAGCTACTGCGTATACACAACAAGCTTTGTGGGGGATCTCTATAATTCCTAATGTCGCTACCTGACATAAGAACATAAAAAACGTACGTAGGACTCTAAGACATGTATACGTACAAGCGCATGTACGAACATATCTACCTCACCATACAAGCAGAACACATATACACATACAAACACATGTGCATACATATCTATCTCACTATACAAGTATGTGAATATGAACTTCGCAGTATAGTAGACGCAGGCATAGGTACACGTAAAGACTTCGTAGCGGCAGCTGCTTCACCCGTCACGTTGTCGCCTTCAAGGTACGTCCGCAGCCATATACATTGATCAAGCACTTCCATCCCTATTACTACTACTGCTTGACGTAGTAGTAACAGTAATAGAAACTGTAAGCTCTGCGTACGTACCGTCTTCCTCCTTCAGTAATCCCGCCTCTCATACTGATACACCTCTTCCTCCTGTCTATCGTCCTCCTCTCATCATGGCAGCGGCTTCTTCTGCCTCTACCCCGGCCCCCCCTCAGAGGAGCTGCGCCTCTCGTGTTACGTTAGCCCTTTGTTCTCGTCGGTCCCCATCCTTTTTATTCTTTACTCCGTCTCCTTCTTTTTACTCTTATTCTCCTTCTGCATCTACCCCTCCTCTTGTGATAGGCAGCGCCCCTGCCGTCTGTTCAACGGTATTTCCTCCGCTCCATCTTTGCTGCTTCTGGTCTCGAGCTTCACTAGCTCTTCATCTTCGTTGTTCTTCTTCGTCTGTCGGCAGTGCCTCCTATCTCTGTCCTCATCATTCTCTCCTCCTCTCCTTTCTTACTTTTCGTCCGCTGTGCCTCACTGTTCTGGAGCTCCCTAAAAACGACTATGCCGTCTACACATTAAGATACATATACATATATATATATATATATATACATGTATATACATACATACACGTATACATATATATACATATATATATATAACGAGATAGCGAGAAGCTCCTAAGTTGCTATCACGACCATTATAGTAGCATTTATAACAACAGTGGCGCCTTCCCGTTTTCAAAATACGACGAGGTGCCCCCAACAGCAGTCGAAAGCAAAAATAGGAATACAGGGAAGTACTAATGAGGGGGGTGACGACGATGCTGATGAACAGGAGAATGACGATAACGATGAGGAGGACGATGGGAACGATGATTAAGAAGCCCAGCTAGCCAACACACTCCCCCCACCCCTCCCCACCCCGAGATACCCGTCCCCGCGAGGGGAGAGACGGGTCCTATTAGACATCATATTTCTTCTGAGCGGAGAGAATAATATGTAGTAGGGCAGAGCCAACAACTACAAATACAAAAAAGGCCAACACCCCGGGGTTTACCGGGTACGAAGACTCTTTACGTGTCCGACTCTCCGGTACATTGCCCCTCTTTGTTATGTTCTTGTTGAACATGTTCACCTTTGCTGCGTATTTCCTGTTGACAGGTGCCTGCACACAGAAAAACAGAAAAGAAAGATGAAAAGAAAAAAAGAAATGCAACCAACTAATGAGACACTCTTCTTACGAGAATAATGAAGGTGAGTTCCGGTCTGTAACAACCCAAGAAATAGAGGGACACAGGAAGAGGCGGCTTGTATGAGTAAAAAGAACAAGGCGCAGCGGTGTGTATGAAAGAACAACATCCCCGTACCAGTACAACGACTATAATCAGGTATGGTCCCCTAACAGCTATCGCTCTGATTGCAGCAGTAGCAGCAGAGTGTATACATACGTGGACATGGTGATAGAGCGTTTACATACGAAGACATATGCCAAATAATAACAGATTTCATCATTACCAGAGGCCGCGACTACCTGAAAACGGTCTAGGGTCCTCAGCCACACAAAAAAAGACACTTCTCTAATGTTCAAATACAAGTGGGCTGAATTCGGGAGTCGCGCGGCATGCAACCATGCCGATGTACCTTTATATATATATATATATATATATATATATATATGTAGGTATGTGTAAGAGTGGGTCCATATATCTGCGGGTGTACACCTATATATGATTGACAAAGGGGGGTGCGGTCACTACACCAACGCACTAGTGCAAAAGAGATTGTTTCAGTACATGAGATGTATACAGTCATACTCGTATGCGATATGTAACAGCAGAGACAGTTACAGGGAGACATATACGTGAGCATGTTTCAATACGGTACATGGCAGTCCTGGAGGTAATTGCACAAATGCATACAGGCGTACGAACGTATACATAAGAAGTAATCCAGTCTATTTAACACAGATCTTCCAGTATCAGCTTCACAGCATTCCCTACAATGTATGAAGCTTGACTCTTGGTATACACAAGCAACGGCGGAAAAAAGCCTCCTTATGTGCAGCAGATAAAAATTCGGCTAGTGACACATCAGTGCTGATGCCACACGTCCCCACCATACCGAAAGTGTTGTGCAAGAGCAATAACCGCACCAAAGGCGCCAACATTGGTTCTGGTAACCAAAGAAAACATTGTCGCCGGCTCCCCTTTCCTATAAATCATAGCACGATGCAAACAAGCAGATAGAGGCAGACCTTCATGTGTATATATATAAATATATATATATATATATATATATATATGTACACATATTCATGCATATAGTGAAGCCGCTGCAACATAGTCTGTTCGTACTCTGCCCGAACCAGCAAAATAGACAGAGCCAGCTTCGACCAGAGAAGTACCACCTAATCACCGATAAAATACTAGGACACCGCATTCGGAGGAAGCTGCCGTCGGGGCAGATATTCTTCTTCAGCCACCGTGAACTGCTAGAGGTCAATTCTATTCACTCCAGCAACCGCAGCAGTTACCAGTATTCCTGATCACGGGCCAGCACATAGAAAAGAAGCCAGTCACAAGTGCAGAGGTCATTCAGCCCTGATCCCATAACGCACTACCGATGATTCAGAAGAAAAGTGGTTTATGAGAGCCGGCGGACGGAAGCCGATAACACTTGGACACCGCTACAGGCGAAAACGTACAGCATCAGCACGTCGTGTCTCTATCGCGCAAAAGAGTGAAGAGGCATCCGTTGACTACTTCCCACTTGACAAAGTACTTCCAAGCATTACCCGCTACAACGCCTTTAAACGACAGGAGATGCGGACTCCATTTACTACATCCCGCTTACGAAAGAACAACTACGCGTTATCAGCTGCAACGCCTTCGCAACAACAGATGCAGCCTCTTACATGAAAAAGCAACATACAACGGCAACAACCACTGAAGCCGAAGAGCAGAGCAGCTGTGGTCACTGCTCGTAGATTCCGCCCGCCCGCATGACGGCACGCAGCGAACAGTACTCTAGCAAGTATCGCAGAAAACAAAGCTGCTAGAGCACTAGGAGCACGTTACCTGGAACTTCAAAGTAGCTATAAGGATGGAAAAATAAGCGCATTCAACGCGAATTCGAGTAAACTACATACGCTTTAACGCGAGCATGTTGAAAACGACGGAAGAAGAACAAGATCCCTACCATTTTGACGAGAGGTTACGAAGTGGCGACGACGGTAGCCGTAGAATTGCGAAGGGCGGCACCGAAAGCACGCTGGACGCCAGGCTGATACCAGCAAATTGCACGACCGCACAGGTGAGAAGCACGGACGGAATGTATGTCGACTACGATAAAACAAACAGAGACGGTTGATAAAAATTCTAGGAGGCACGAACTCGTCCTTCCCCTTCGAAATGAGAGTAGTAGCTAACAGGGAACGACAACAAAGGTACTAAAACGAACCAGCAGCGGAAGTGGTAAAAAAAACAAGCGAGATTTGTAAAACTTGATCCTTTTGAGGAACCGCAAAATAAGATGACACGCCAATGATGAACTGTTGGTGCGGGTTGTCTTTCCCCCTCCACGCCCCGCGGTGAAGTGGAAGGAGCACGGCAGGTGAGGCGGAACAACAGCGGCGTAGCTGCAACGCCCGTAGGGGAGGCGGCAGTTCGCGCGATGGTCGTACAGCCGGGTCCTCCAAACCCTTGGGAGACCCGTAGGAGCGAGGGTGAAGGTGTAAGGTACGAGTTATTTTCGAAC